AATAGTTAGTCTTTCATACAATAATTTGTTTGTTGTATATTATTCAAAATTCAATGCTTTCTTCTAATAATTAAAGTTGTGCTCAAGATTTTTCACTTAATAATCAAAGTTATAATCAAGTGCTTTCACCTAGTAATAATTTAAGTTGTGATAAAATATCTTCACCTAGTAAGCAAATAGTTAACCTTTTGTACAATAATTTGTTTATTGTGTCTTTATCAAAAAATTTAATGCTTTTATTTAATAATCAAGTATTTTTGTTCAGTAATCAAAGTTATAACCAAGTATTTTTGGCTAGTAAGCAAATAGTTGGCCTTTTATACAATAATTTGTTTGTTATATTTTTATCTAAAAGTTCAATGCTTTTATTTGATAATCAAGGCTGTGTCTAAATTATTTCATTCAGTAATCAAAATTACAATCAAATGTCTTTGCCTAGTAAGCAAATAAGATAGTTGGTCTTTTATATAATAATTTGTTTGTTGTGTTTTTATCCAAACATTTAATACTTTTATCCAATAATCAAGATTGTAGTTTAGTGTCTTTATCTAATAATCAAAATTACAATTAAGTGTCTTTGTCTGGTAAGCAAATAGTTAGTTCTTTGTATAATAATTTGTTTGTTGTATATTTATTCAAATATTCAATGCTTTTATCCAATAATCAAGGTTGTAGTTTAGTACCTTTGCCTGGTAATCAAAATTACAATCAAGTATCTTTGTCTGGTAAGCAAATAGTTAGTATTTTGTATAATAATTTGTTTGTTATATATTTATCCAAACATTTAATACTTTTATCCAATAATCAAGATTGTAGTTTAGTGCCTTTGCCTGATAATCAAAACTACAGTCAAGTGTCTTTGCCTAGTAAGCAAATAGTTAGTCTTTTGCATAATAATTTGTTTGTTGTATATTTATCCTAATATTCAATATTTTTATCCAATAATCAAGATTGTAGTTTAGTGCCTTTGTCTAGTAATCAAAATTATAATCAAGTGTCTTTGCCTAATAAGCAAATAGTTGGTTTTTTACACAATAATTTGTTGTATATTTATCTAAATATTTAATATTTTTATTTAATAATCAATGTTGTAGTTTAGTGTCTTTATCTGGTAATCAAAATTACAATCAAGTGTCTTTACCTAGTAAGCAAATAGTTGATCTTTCACACAATAATTTGTTTATTGTATCTTTATCTAAAAATTTAATGCTTTCATCTAATAATCAAATATTTTTACCTAGTAATCAAAATTACAATCAAGTGTCTTTACCTAGTAAGCAAATAGTTGATCTTTTATACAATAATTTGTTTATTGTATCTTTATCTAAAAATTTAATGCTTTTATCCAATAATCAAACATTTTTACCTAGTAATCAAAGTTGTGATCAAGTATTCTTACCCAGTAAGCAAATAATTAACCTTATATATAATAATTTGTTTGTTGTGTCTTTATTTAAAAATTCAATGCTTTTATCCAATAATCAAGCATTTTTACCCAGTAATCAAAGTTGTGACCAAGTATTTTTACCTGGTAAGCAAATAGTTAACCTTATATATAATAATTTATTTGTTGTGTCTTTATCTAAAAATTTAATACTTTTATTTGATAATCAAAGTTGTGGCTTAGTGCCTTCACCTGATATCCTTGCTAGTGGTTTAATGCCTTTACCTATTAATTATGTTGTTTCTTCTGAACCTTCATTTGAGAATTGTGTTGGTTGTCAAAAGCCTTTATTTAATAGCTATAGTAAGTTTTGTGCTTTATCTAATGATTGTTATTGATTAGAATATGATGCTAATTTATCATATTCTAGCTCTTGTTGATATTACTAACAATTATTTGAATTTGAATTCCAATCGTCATAATATTTTGCAAGAATCTGTATGCCAGAACTTTTAACAGTATATTGACAAGATAACACAACAAATATTAAAAAAAAGAAAGCTTATTAATATTCAAATTATTGATTTTATAAGAGTAAATATTCCAAAAATTGATCAATTTGGTATTGATCATTCTACTTTTCTCTATAAGGTTTTGAAAAAAACTAATGAAAATCAGTATCAATTTGGGTATAAATCTGGTATAATTAGTATATACTATACTTTAGGCAAACTTGAAATACTTGAAACTACTACTTGTTCTGAGCTTGATAATATTTCAATAAATCAAATATTAATTCATGAGGTAGCAAGACTGCAAAGTGTGAGAACTACATCAGGTTCTATCTGTAGTTGTAAGAGTTCATGTGATAATAAGAGGTGCAAGTGTAAAAAAAAGAATTTAAAGTGTACAAGCTATTGTCATAGTGGGTAGTTATGTTTAAATAAAGATTAATACAGTATACAGTATTATTGTATAAGAGATTGCATGTATTAAATAATTTAATTATATATTTAAATATTAAATTTAGAATTTAGTTGGTTTATAATTTTAATAAAGGTTTGTTTATTATCACATGATTTTTGTTGTGTCAGATTAAAGTGATGCATGTCACCTGCAAATCGGCATCTGATGCATGTTAGATTAGATCCAATGCAAGAATCGATCTGAAGCACAATATACATAAGTTAAATTTATTTTTATTTTACAGTCTTTTTTAGATAAGCATGACCCTAAATCTAAATCTAAACATACACTCTGGAATAGGAACAACATTCAAAAAACATCAGCTCATGAAATTTATCAGAGTGTTGCTATGAAGTCTCTTGAACAATATCGCAATGACATGAAATCACAACTCAACAAACACAATAAAAAATTTAACAACAAATACAATGTTGGCAATTTAGTGCATCTTAAGATTCCTGATATTGATAGACACATACTGATCAAAAAACACTCCCATGCAAATTCTTGAAGTAACAAAAGATAACACATATAAACTTGAATGTAAATCGGGCATTATTAAAGTTACATATAATGTTAATGAACTTCTTCCTTTGGGTCCTAACAAGTTTCCCGAATTGGATAATATCCCCTCAACACTCATAAGCGTCCAAGAGGCATCGATTATGCAATTTTCTTCACAAATAGGCGATATTAAATGCAATTGCAAAAATTCGTGTGACAAAAATCATTGTAAATGTAAAAAAATGAAAGTACCGTGCGGTAGTAGTTGTCATCCTAGTAATCATAATTGTAAAAACAATATCGATATGTAATGCTTTTAATAAATTGAATTAATTTGCTGATGCATTATTGTTATAAATAAATATTATTCTAAAGCGACTTGAATTCCAAAACAACATACTCGATAAAAATAATTTAGAATCAACTTAATTTCATTAAAAGTTGAATTCGAATTCTTTAGCAACCCGGGCACACCTTGGAATTCTGTTACAACCTATGTTTATTTGGAATCAACCTAGATGGATTCTAAATCCACAATGATTCCATTCCGACGTACGACATATATACAAAAATAAAATTCTTTGCGTTTAACTTCCTTATTGTTGTATTTATAACACCCGCAACAGTAATAGTAATGATACATTTTAAGTACAGTGTTTATTTAATAATTATTATCGTTACTCCTAACTAAATAGTTGATTCAAATTAACGGTAAAATATGTATTTATCAACGTGCAAGAATATAAGCATAGATTGTATTAATTCTATTTCGTCTGATTTTAAATCAAATATATTTGTTGTAAATGGCGTGGATTCTGAATCCACTTTAGATTCTGAATCAATTTAAGTTGGTTTTGATTCTCAAAACAACTTAAGTAGAAATACAGTGGAATTTTAAAAATTGTAAGCAATATAAATTTTGATAATAAAGAAATATGTAATTTTATAGCTAACAACATGGCATAATCATTATGTAATTTAATTTTTTTCTTCTATTTTTGCATTTACAGTAATACTGCAATTCTCGAATATGTGCAGGTTGATGGCGCATTAAATAACCTAAGTAATTTGTTCCAATTAAAAAATTCTATTAACGACAATAAAATAATAAGTTTTAATAGAACGAACACCATTTTTTAACGTTATTCTACTCGAAACAAATATTCTTGCTGTTTTCAAAAAAATACGTTTCCCTTCATTTTTTTCATAACTTTTAGCCTCCAATATTATCGTTTTGAATTCACACTTTATAAGGTATAATTTTCAAAAATTTTTAGACCAGAATGATGACAACTCGTCAAAGTTCAAATATAATACGCGTATAAAAAAATATTGGCCTCAAAAGTATGATAATAAATCTCAAATAAACGCAAATATGTAGTTAATAAGCACACATACTATGTAGGTTATAAAAAAAAAAAAAATCCTTAAAATGAAAAACTTCTTATAATCGTATCTTAAAAAAAGAATAATAGTAGTATTCCTTATTTAAAAATTAATAATAGTTTGTATAGAAATCGACTGTATTCATATTTTTGTTATATCTTCAATTCATAAAGAAAAATAGAAAACGTTCAAAGTACAGGGACGGTTGAAGCACATAGTGAGTTTTCAATCAAAAAGAAATTTTACGAACGTACTGAACACACTGAAATACTGTGGCTGATTAATGCACCATCAACCTGGCACACATTCAAGTACTGTATTGCTTTAATACTACGAAATGACACTGTCAAATTAGAACGTCTATATCCATAAGAATTTTTTTTGCATTTACCCTTATAATGTAATTATAGTAGAAACAAGCTAGTACTGCAATTATAAGATTTTAATTGAATAAAGGCTTTCGATGTCTTGAAAGTGACTTTTTCGAAAAAATTTATTAAGGGTGGTTCGCAGTTAAAGGGTCAAAATTTCATAGAAAAAATCGGCGCAGTTTCACTAATTGCCTATAGTAAAAAATCAAAAAATACTCACATCTTGTGATATATTAAACCGATTTTAATAATTTAGCTATCATTAGAATCAGAAAAGTTAACTCTGCAAAGTTTAATTAGAAATTATAAAAGAATTGCTTAGAAAAAAAAAAAAAAACTTTTATATGTAGGGAAGCCCATTCACACACTATAGAATTCCAAATTATAAAATGTCGATCATAGACTTGCCTGAAATTTCATGGGTCGAAATTTAACTTAAAAACTTTCGTGAAATATATACAGTACAATTATTTTAAATACATATGATTCATATGATTTATATGGTTACTAATATTCGATTATTAAATAATATTTTTAAAATTTGAAAATCGACTTATTCTGGATTCGAAAATCCACCGAAGTGAATTCTGAATCCATTATTTAATAAATTTTTTTGGCAAACATGTCTAACGTCGATAACTAGTCCCCAAGTTCTGTACGTATCAATAATGTGGGTCTTACTTTTAGGGAAAATCGAAAGCTGTTAAGTTGAAAAATAACGTAACACAAGTTCCAGAATTAGATGACCTCTCCCTGTTCTCAAAATAGAGTTTAATGAACTTCGAGATATCGAACGAAGCCAACATTGAATTTTTTTTCCTTCCACGATATCATAAACTCACACCTCTTCGTAGTGAAACATTACTTACAAACTTAGTAACAACGGACATATCCCCGCTTGTCGTGAGGCACCCTTTTTCAGATAGCAGCGGTAAGTACAGTAATTACATAAAAACTTTGATAAGTTACAAACTTTAATTTTTATTTTGTTTCTAAAATTAACTAGAAGAAAAAAAAAATTGAGATCGAATTCCAGTTCAATAAACTAATGGATACGATCAAGATGAACGATATTTTGACCTTAAAATACAAATTAAGGGTAAAAAAGTATATGAGGACTGAACCCTCAAAGAAGCTTCTAAGAAGATTTTATCGAATCAATTTCGATATTTGAAATAGAAGAAATTTTCAAATTAGGCCCTTCGCTCAACGATGATGATTTAAAACGGTTTGAAGACAACCCGTTCTTGAAGTTTTATCCGATGGAATGGAACATTAGAATCTCCCAACGCAGAGATAACTCAAGAGTGCCCTTGTATTTTTGAAGATGATGAAAGAAGCCAAAAAGGTGATCTCTCATATTGCGCGGGTACTACAAGCACAAGCCAAATCATTGAACAAAGGGGGACCATGTGCAAAACGATTATGCACTGGTGATAAGTTAGAATAGGTTTAATTATATTACGTTTGATCTATTAATTATTATATAATCAAATTTATTGCAATCACGAGTTATGTAGCAACGGCATAAAGTTTTTTGCGTGAGTGGGATTAATTTTTTTGTTATGTATTACTATGTAAAATTCGAATGTCAAAGTTCTTTATTACGATCGAAAAAGTTTGATGCAAAAATTGTCACAATTTGATACTTTATTTTCATTATTGTATACTTTATATTATTAACAAATAACAAATAAAATGCCATTCACCCAGAAAGAGAGAGCCCAAAAATTTTTCATCTCTTCAGTAAGATAGGAATGATAAAATAGAACGGGTGAAGTCTTTACTGTATTGATGATTCTAATTATGTAATATCTTAAATTCCTGATAAAAACCCAACAGAATCGTAAGTTAAGTCACGCATCTGTGACCTTGGAGCCAAAACTTACGTTTTTGATAATCTAAACATACCCTAAAATTTTTATAAACTTTTATTATAATAATATGTAATCCTATTAGTTATTTTTATGGTATGTTTAGATCTATCAAAAAATTAAGTGCAGAAGTATCAAAAATATAAGATTTGCTCTACGTACAGCCTACCCTTAATTTTACAAAAGCATAAAATCAAAATTTTTTGCTAGAAGTTTTAAAATCCAATTATTATAAAACGCACCTATGGTGTTTTAGCACTATATACGTATAATTGTATTTAATAAAATTTAGGGTTAGGGTTCGGGTATTAGGAATTTTATTTTTTTTTATTATTTTTTTTTTTTTTATATATAATATAATATAGAGCTAATATAAGGCCCGATCTCAGTTTTCGTGGGTCCTGAACATTTTTACTTAGAGTACCTGATCCCTTTTACTTAGTACGTTTTTGAGAAATAGGGACCTAGGTGGTAAAACACCATAGGTGCGTTTTAGTAAAAGTGTTAAAATAAGAATTGATTAATTATTTCCTTTTTAAGCCTGTATCACCCTCACAAATAAGTATTTCCATCTTATCAGTTATCATTAACTGTGGATATTGCTTTAGATTGTCGATATTACAACTTTTAGTTAAAACACTGATAATGATTTTATTTTAGACCATGAAAGAAATTAGTATATACTGTACATTATTTTTAAGTCAAAATAGCTTCAATTAATACCTATTTTGCCACAGGTTTTTTTTTTATCTGATGAGTTATGCTAAAAGAAACCTAGACTTCGCGCTTTTAAATTTACAATTCACAGAACTCGAGTTGTTTTAAAATTTACTATTTAATTTTATTTATTCGCGAATGTTAGTATAGAGAAGATTTATTATTCCGCTATTTAGAATAAGTTACTCAAGTTCTTGAATATTTAAACTTTTTTTGTTTTTTATTTTTTAATATTCGTATCTCCCAAGTCAATTAACCAATAGAAAATTTTACTAACACAAAATGTTAAAAAAAGGTATATACATGAGAATAGAATTCGCTGTTCTTAATAGGCCCTAATCTATAAATTTTATAAATGCTTTAAATATTTTCAAATATTTCGACATACTAAAATATTTTCAACATATTAAAAAATTTCGATATGCTAAATTATTTATTGTTTCGACTGTCAAAAATAGTTTTCGCCATTTAGACTTTCGCCAAGAGCAAAATATTTTCTCCACCCATGTACAGTACGTATACCGTGATTAAGACCCGGGCATTTCTTTCTCCGTTCTACAGGTCCGTTTATTAAACAAATAGCTATTAATTTATTACTTTTCATATGAATATCTTTCAAAACATACAATACAAAGTATTCGGGTACTCAATTTTAAAAACGAAGGTTTTGAATAAGTTCCTGGGTATTATATGCAGTACTAACGGTAAATGATAATGAACACGAACTGATCTTTCATTAAACTTATACTGCTGATTGTTTCATTTTCTATTTCACACTTATTTCGTTCTATATTTAACTTTTTGCGCACACAAAGACTTTAAAGAAACACATAATTTATAAACATAGTAACAATAAATAGCCATTAATCATTCATATAAAAATATATCTAACTGTAATTAGATTCTATTAATAAAAATGTATAATTGAATGGCAATATTAAAAAAAAAGGTTTCCGGAAGGTTGCCTCCAGACTACATGATCATATGAAGCACATGAACTGCTATATTTTTTCAACAATGACAAAATTAGAATTGCAATTGTCGTTCTTCTGAACTTTGTATGGGATAGCAGCAGTAAGGGTGGCTAATTTCTGACAAACGAATGTTTAATTAATAAATTAACTCTGACACCATGTACATAAAGCCCCGAAAGAGCGACAATTGTTTAAGTAGTTCTTAAGTCTTAGAATTTACCTCTGCTATAGTTACATTGACATCGATACAACACGTAAATTATTTTTATTCAAAACCGATGCAATTTGATCTCTAAGCTAATGATATATAAAATTGTTCGGATATGATTCGGTTCGAATTATTATCACTTAGATAAGGTTACATAATTATCTTAGAAAAACAATTATAGTCAAGTGAAGGTATAAATCATGCATACAATTGCCACTCTGAATGGCAGCAGGATAACAATGAATAGTGGCAGATAGCAGCAGGAGTAATTTGTAAATAAGTTACGAGGGATAGTAGAATGATAGCAGCAAGGTATGTACGTACATACGTCCTGCCGCCACTCAAAGAGTGACTACGTTTTATATGCGAAATTAGATGTGACTTAAGGAATTTCTGTGATGTTAAATGACTTGGTTTCAATAAAATCCCTAAATAGAAAGACAGGACAGCTATAAGGGATATTATTGGAACATTAAATGAAATACATTTGTGCCAGCCTAGTCTCTGAATCATATTAAATATAACAATTTATATAATTAAAATTCGGTCACCAAATTCAAGTATTTGGTCCCATTTACCAAATTAACTTATTAATCAATCAATGCTAAACTCCAAAAATTTTTTTTTAGACCTCTGACCCAGATTGATAACACGTCTAACTCATCTTCCCTACTTCATTAGACATGGAAATTTATTATAATGACGCATCATGAGGAATACAGTATTAGTAGTCAAGTTCTTCAGATTTTGGGTATTTTATAAATTCTCCACAAAGTATAGCAGTACTTTGAATATTATAATTTTGAAATAAAATTTTTCTTTATCGTATACGTTGTTTTTTCACTTATAAAGCTTTTTAGTATGATAGAAATGACAATGACAATATTAAATTATTTTTATTATGATTATTTTTTTTTTAAAAAAAAAAAAAAATTAATAATGAACAGCTCATTGATAAATTAAGATTTTATCACTAATAAATAAAAATAAAGATTATTAATAATAATAATGTTGATAAAGTAAAATTAAAAAAAAAAATTCCAAATACATACGTATAAGCATTACAATGAGGTCCAAAATCTGTAGACGCCGCACTTCTAAGCAAAAAATGTGCCGGAAGTCTATTTCCCCAATCCCAAGGAACTTCAAATTTTACTACAGCACGTGCTTTATTCTCTCCATCAAGTCTAATACCGGCTTGCCATAAAACTTTTATAAGTCCATCAGTAGTGAACAATTCACAATCGGTAATGTTTATAATTCGTGATGTCATTCCCGCAGACCAAATACAATCGATTGCGGTTCCATTCTTGATTCGTGTTACTTCATGCTTTGAGTGCTTTGCGTGTTTGGATGGTGGATACTCGAATCTATAATCTATTAAGAGTATAAGCGACGTTGGTGATCATTATTTGCGAAAAGTAATGATAAACCCATCAAGTTCTACCTTTGCAAATTTCTTCGATCGAATAAAATTTATTATCATTAGCACTTTTTATGCCTTTGTTTTCGACTAAAAATAATTTCAGGTGACATGAACATTAGTGTGAAATTATTGATAAATTTTGTTATCAGCAAATTAAGTAACTTTTTTTACCTTGTGGTAGGGCTTCTGAAGTTTTGATCAAGGTGTACACAATTAAAATAATAATCACAACTTTTATGTTCAAAAAATACATGTTAATATGTTTTAGATCGGTAAGTAAATATATATTTTTTTTATTGCAAGAAAAAACAGGAAAATTTTCAAGATTTTTATAAAATTTATCAATACGATCCGCATGATAATATTGACCGAGATTGAAATCTTAAAATAATCCCTCGGCACTCCTGATTTCAAAAAAAGCATGCCACATTGAATTTTTATTCGATTTGACTGGTTCTTAGTTTTTTTTACGGTCTAAATCTGCATTTCGCAACTCCGTTAGGGATCAAAGCATACGATATAGAAAGTGACACTATCAAAATTTACGAACAATTGTGATAACTGATAAGATAGTGATACGTATTTAAAGCATATGATTGCGTCACTTTCCATCACGTATTCGAATTCTCTATTTTGCCACGAAAAAATACTCACATTTACTAACAAGCCTCTTTCATGTAAAACATTCGAGCCTAATATTTTACTGATTTTACAGTAAAAGTTGGCTAACTGAAAAATAAGAAAATTTAAGCAGCAGTAATAAAAATTCCGATTCCGACGCACGCAATTGTTGTTCTTCAGGATTGTGTGGCGCTAGTGTATAGCAGGTAGGGTCTTTTATTATAATAAGGTTGAATCGAAAGTCGCAGAACAGCAAGGGTAATCGTAAACTTTAATTAATAAATTAGTTGCTTTTTCTGGTATCTTGCCGTTATATATAGAGTTACTATCATGAACGTGAAAGAACGACAATTATATATAATATATATACATTTCTAATTCAGGAATTCTATCTCTGCTGAAAAATACTACGTATTAAAAGCAAGGAGTAAGTTATCATCAAGCGACTTACATAATGACTCGCGATTTTTTTTTTTTTTTTTTTTAATAGAGTCTCGTTATTGCG